AGGAAGTCGACGGCGTGCCTTGAGTTTGGCAAACTCAAATCGGAGATGTCGCTCCACATGCACGTCCACTTCCTTGTGGCTCAAATGTAAGGTATACAGTGAGGAAAGTTTGCGATGTCGTCGCATCCATCGCTCAAAGAGCGCTTCGTCATCTGTAGCGCTTTTGCCAGGGGTGAGCACTACAGGTATCGTCCGCATTACGGGTACTCGAGAGCCACCTCGTTGACCAGGAAGACGAGTGCGATAACCTTCCAACGGAAATTCTTGTGGAACCAAGAAACGAGCTCGAAAAGCTTTCCGTTTGGCAAGCTCATCTTCCGTTATGGTTGGGGGCCTGATGATGTGGAAGCGTAACGATCGAGTTACCGCGTCCTCCGCTTCCACAGCGGGATCCGCTGGGCGGGCGATATATTCCACGCGAGGGTCAATGACCGGCCGTGGATGGACGCCCATCAGAGCCGCCTTACGGGCAGCTTCCAGCTGCCGCCTCTGAGCCCCGTCGAGGTCATTGTTGATTACACCACGTCCTTCAGGTGACGCGAAGTCAGGAAACGGACATGGGGTCCTCAAAGTGCGAGCAGGGCTCGTATCACGCCGCTGGCGCGGCTCGCCTTCCTCGTCATCCCACGCCGGAAAAGGAGTGTCAGACTCGTAGTCGACCATCTCCACATCCTCAACGAGGTCACTCGTCACTGCTAGCGTGCGCGGAGAGCGGCGCTCGTGCTCATCGAGCCTAGGATATACACTCCTCGATGCCGCGGACGCACTGTCCGACATTGCACCGCGTGCGGTAGACGAAGTTGGGCTCTGCTCGTGTGCGCTGTCAGAACCAGCGAGACTTGGCGACTTCAGTGACGTTGACACAGGGCTCATTTAGCACGAAAGTCGTGTTGTTCCAACAAACCAAGTTGCAGTGTCTAGCGGACACGCAAGCATCGTTGAGGCAATAATCGACTGGAACTGTAAATGTTCTCAATCTTAATGGGGGGAGTGTAACGGGGTTACACGTACCCTGGTAACAGGGTGTGTGTCACACGAGATGGGCATGGTGTGACTGCACCCAAATAAGAATACGGTACGCGGCTGGGTAGCCAGTAGTTATGCATGTATTTAGATTTCACTATATATATTAAGGAAAATCTATCCATTTAAAACTAGGCTGCTTTGCCGCAGATAAAAATAAAGTCAGTTTTTGATTTAAGCAGAAGACTTAATTAGCCTTGGGTTAAGGCAACAATCACTCTTGGGGTAAGCGGATTGCGATCCGCAAAACTCGTACTTGTTTTAAGTATAGAACGTAAGGTCGGTGACCTATCTTACGCTTCCTCAAAGCGCAAAGCTACGGCAGCCCCGTTGCATGTTTGATTTCAGCAGAATTGTTGGACTTATTAAGTCTTTTCAATTGCTAATCTCGTACTGCTAAGACAAATCCACTCCGGACAAATGTGACGCCTTCAAACAATGTACGTCTTAAGGTCTATCAAAGCCGACCCCGGGCTGTGTTAGTCACTTGACCTAAGAACGGGATGTACCTGGTTCGAAATCCATGGAATCCAAACAAAGGAAGTCGGAGATAAGTCACTATAGTAGACGAGCAATCACACCTAAAAGTGTGTTTGCCCTGCCAATCTGCACTCAAATGGGTGTGTGATCGTTGGGTGGCCACTGACCGAAAAAGCCTATCATAGTGTAGTGAGAGGTACGGGAATTGGTCTCCAAGAGGGTACCAGTATCCCGCGCTAGAGAAAATAGCGTGAAAATTCCGGTAGCTTATATATACATATATATCAAGGTCTATCGATGATCGGTCACATCACACGAGTGCGGTAGGAAAGAGGTTGATGGCTTCATTACGCAAAGGTGATAACAAATGTGCAATACTTGGCATTGTGACGACGGCGCTTGCTCAACTTGATGCGAAGCGCCCGCGTGGTTGGAGTTGGAGGCCATCGTTATATAAATTCTCCAAACGCGGTACGTTTAGTTTTAAGGACAGTAGCATATTTCTTACCTTCTTCAAAGATTCGATATAAAGATGACCTTTATTTGGTAATTTTCTTGCATGTAGCTCATATATTTCTACCACACGGCATGGGTATGCATCTTTTGCAACATCACATCGTTTTCAGTAAGAAACTACCAGCCACGTCTATAATTTAGTAGTTGAACAACCTGTGTAATCCATGCTTTTCTGTTGCATGTTCCGGTTACAAACCGATCAGTAATCCGCGAGCAAGCTCTCGGCGAGTGTCTGCAACTTTTGCAGCCGTAAATCAACATCCTCACAAGTTATTGTCGGAGCCGATTCGAAGGACGGGCACTGTGTCAAAGATGTTTTTCCGAACGTGGCATCAGCATCATTAAGTTGGTTGTACGAGATTCGAGTCAAAACCTCGTTCACACTATTTTGATCGTGCGTTTTATCTCGTTTGCCACCTGCTTGAACAGCATGTGTCTGAGACCCCATGCTTTTTTGCGTTACAAATGATGTTCGGTCTGTCTGAGTTGCAACGGATTCTGTCGGCATTGCTTCCATCTCAGCATTGACCATCGCTAGCTTCTGCTCGTGTGCGCGCAATGAGTTTAAGATCGTATTTTGTTCTCGCCTTAAACGTGCCAACTCAGAGTCACGTCGACGTACTTTGTCTTCCAAACTCGCAACTCGTTCTGTCTCATGGGCGATAAGTGATTCCTTTTGGCGTGTAATGTCTCGTTCGAGCTGTCGAATCCGCACCTGTTGCTTGCCGTGCTCAATTTGAAGCAGCGAATGCGCCAAGCGAGCATCTTGAATTTCAGTTTGCCAGACATCGTGCTCGTGCTGAAGTCGATCTGCTAATTCTGCCTCTTGCTTATTCCTTTGCAACTCAAAATCATGCTTTTGCGTTGATAACAGCTCACGCAATCTCTGAATCTCCAGTGAAGCCTCATCCTGAGCTACTTTCGCTTGCTCTTGTTGTTCATGATTATTTTGTACAATTTTGATCTGCTCTTTTAGATCCCGCTGAAGATTCTCGACCTGAAGAACTAACTTGCTCGTTTTTGCTTCCCATTCCTGACGAACACGACGCACGCGACCGCGCAAATCATGGGCATCGCGTGCGAGTAAGTGCCAAAGATACTGACGATCTTTTTTTAAAACGGCTACCTGGTGCACGAGTTCTGTGAGACTAAGCGTCTCCATTGCCTTAAGCTCTCTTCGATTTCTTACTTTTATCGTTTCTTTGTCGGTTTGATCTAAGAGATGAGAAGTGGATGACATCGAATCAAATGGCCAGCTTGGATGCTCATTATTTTTCATCTTTGTGCAAAGATAGCAGACGTCAGTCGAGTCGCTGAGGCTACGTGTTGACACCTTCTGTGCAAGGTCTAAGCAGTTCTCAGACATCATTGCTGAAGGCGTAGAGCTCTCAGGAATGAAAAGTAACAAGAATTCACCCCAAGTGAGTGTGCCTCTGTTCCTTTCAGCTAATGCAGCCTCGACGTGAGATACGAGCTTTGACAATTTTTTAGGGCCTCCAACGACATTTAGCACGGCTGTGTCTCCATGTCGTAGAGCATGAAGCAACACGTGAGATTGTATCATTCCGGTGTCATAGCAATCCAGACCATGGAATAACGCGCGTAGCGCTGTTTCTGTTGCTGGACGAAGAAGTTTTCCGTCCGATAGTAGACGCATAGTTACATCAGATTTATCATGATTGTTTTCGTCACTATTTTCTTGGCCTTGTAGTCTTGTGTTGCGCATCTGCTCCAACCGATGTGCCCATACCCTCCGGTCAGCCTCCAGTGCAGCCTCACTATTGCGCAGTCTCGCCTCTCGATGCGTTACGAGAAAAAAAGCCAGGTCAATTCGTTCTTTTGCGAGCACTAGACGTCGTTCTAATGCTTGCAGCCTCGCACAACTACCATGGAGCAGTTCTACTTTTTCACGAACAAGCCCGCCTGTGAATTGAACGACATTCTCTGACAATGACTGCAATTTTTCACGCTCTACTGCCAATGTCCGAACAGCACGCTCACATTTTTCATTAGCTTTTACTCGCTGGGCCTCAGCTTGGCGTGTTGCTACTACCTCTAGATCGCGCTGAGCTTCGAAATCTGCTGCACGCCGCTGCCACATCTCGATGTTTTCTTCACAGCGTGCAAGATCTCTGGAAAGTAAGCCCTCTTGTTGTTGAAATCGATCCATTATAGCCTCGTTTGCAAGCTGGTTGGATTGGGCTTGAACCATAAGTCCGACACACTTTTCTCGCCAAGCAGCAAGTAGCCGAGTGTACACAGCTGCGGCCGCTTTCACTGTTGGCGCAACATCAGAATTAGATTTGCTGAAGTAATTTGTCTGAAAATGTGAACTTTGTTCGCCAAACTGTAGTAAAGTTTGCCTCATTGTCCTGTCTTGAATTGCTAGAATACCCTCAAGTGCCTCTACACGACTTTTCAGTAACGACTCTCTTGTCTCGGCATTCTCTGTAGCACTACTGTCATATTGATTATTGGTTCGCTGGGACCTCGTGTTCGCGTCAAATTTATCCTCAAAAATTCGTGGCTCTTTGATCCCGTGTCGAGGATAATTGTAACCTTGTAGATTTAACTTTGTGGCCTGTGGGCGAACCATTTCTCCTTTTTTTGGGACTGAGGGGCCAAATGGCGGTGCTTGTGTTAGTGATGTCGTGACTGTTGTGGCTGTAGGTAAAGGGAAAGGTAAAGGTAAAGGTGACGGCTGTCCTCCCTCCTCAGCCCTTGCAACAGACTTCTTTTCGTTCGCATTACATTGCGTCTCGTTTTGATTCACCTCATTCGTCTTTTTTAATCCATTCACGGTGGCAATTGTTAATGATTTCACTGGCAGCATTGTGACCGGCTCTTTCCAATTTTGTTGTATTCGAAGACTATCTGGTAGCAGCAATTTTCGCGACGGCGCTGGTGACTGATCCCTTGGTGACAAAACGTCATTTTGAAGCTGCGTTTTGAGCTGCAGTTTGGCGTGCAGCCTCTCAGCCACAGTAATTTCCAGACCATCCAACGTCTGTAGCTGCGGTAGCATGGCAAGTGTTTCGCGGCGATATATGACCGACTCAGCGAGCAGATTTTCGCTTAATGTAAGGTGACGAAGCTGCGTCAGTGGTTGTAAGAACCGCAACTCACTAACAAGCGCTACATTATTAGCACCGACGTCTAAAGTCTGCAGCTGCTTACATCCACCCAGCGCACGCAATGACTCTAACGCATTTCCATGTAGACGAAGTAATCGAAGCGCAGGCAGCCATGTGCCCAGCTCCTCGGGCAGCGCCAAAAGACAGTTGCCGCTCAAATCCAGCTGCACTAAAGATTGCGGTAGGAGCTGCAGATGACGCACGTCGCGCAGTGCGTTGCAGGATAAATTGAGGCTTTGCAGCTTCGGGTAGTCGGCCGCGATTTGCGCTGCCAACTCCGGCGTAAGCGTCTGCAGCGGCATCCTGCCGCAATCAATAGCTCATGCAGTTGTAACTGGCTGAAAATGTGATGAAATAATGATTTAAGATTGAGAGAATAAAAAAAACGCACCAACTTTTGCCATATATAAAAAAAATATCCCAACTTTTCAAAAAATAATAAAAATACCT